AATAAAAGGAAAAAAGAATAATGCATAGCTATTTTGAGACATGTGTAGAAATATATTCATTTATAGTCACATAGCACCTTATGAATGTTTAGTAGGAATCAGATACTGTTCTAATACACTCTCTCCATTTTTCAGGTGAAAAGATGGAAGGGAGCTTTTTCAAGTGAGCTTTCCAGGTCACAGAGTTGTACTAAGATTGGCGTGGCGGTGCTTTCATCTGCAGAATTCCTTCTCACCTTTTTCAGCGTTCACTTTTTTGCATTTTCTCCCCTAGTACTAGAAACTGAATCCAGGACCGTCACACAGAGCTACATCACAGGCTTTTAAATTCTTTTTTATTTTGAAACAGGATCTTACTAAATTGGCCAAGCTGTGCTCAAACTTGTAATCCTTCTACCTCAGCCTACCAGAATATTGGGATTACAGGCATGTAGCAGCACACAAGGCTCACTTTCTAAATTTTATTTCTTCCCCCCCAAGTCTGTCTTTGGCCCCAGAGTAGAATTATGATTATATAACTAACAATTTCTATTAACCTATTTGTAGAACAAGTATACTTCCATACTGCTATCATAGTGATAGGCTCAGTGATAGAACAGAGAAAGTATATACAAGACCTTGCCTAATGGAGCTTACCTTCTATACTTCAGATTGGTAGAAAATATAAAATATACACAATTTAAAGGTAAAGAATAAAGTATACTTTAAAAAACACTGGGAAGATTAAATATTCAGCTACTTATCAAAAAGGAAGAAAATAAGCATCAAGAAAGTGTACAAAATGACGTTCAATGACAGAAATAAGTCTAAATGTATTAATTGACTGGATTAAAATTTTCTATTATAAGCAAAGGTTTTCAGACTTACTAAAAATGACTTCAAATTCTCTATCCATTAATTTCATTGCTATCATTTCATCTATAATTTCATCTACTCATTGCTCTTTTTATTAATTTCTACTTCAATACCATATTTTTCTCACTTTAATACCCCACTGTAAATCCTCCCTACACCAGTACTTCTCACACTATAAATCATGCCTTGCTAGAGTACAAGCTCCTGAAAGGCAGGATTATTTTCTTTCTCCTGTTAATATATCCTAAGCGCATAGAACAGTAATGAATTATTACTTTCTTCTGAGCCATGAATCCTTTGAAAAATCTATAAAAGCTATCAATTGTCTCCACAGAAATATCATATGCATATATCATTTTAAAAAGTCAATTCATTTTACAAGATCATGAAAAGGCTTTAATATAAATATTGATTATATGAAATGAAAACATTAACAAAATATTTCCTAACTTTTAAAGGTAATATTTCACACACAAAATAATCTCTCCACATTTTATAACAGAGAAAGCCCCACCCCACCCCCAAACTGAAAGAAAGCATTTATCCAAAGACATAAAATATTTCTGGATACTGTGAAATGTTTCAAAAGTCCAAAATCTTCTTTTAAGCTCTTGAAATACATTTATTTCAGGTAGGGATGGAGTTGCTTAAATCTAGCTTTTCTTGACAAACCAATCCTGATTGGCCGGTTGCATGTCTTAAGAGGCTGAATTCTTGAAATGCCACGTGGAAAATGACTACCTAAAAACATAAGACAATAAAAGTTACCTAAAGGAGTAAAATAACCAGTATTCTTAAGACTCTTTGCTTACTTCTAACCATAATACTAGCACATTTGCTGAGCATTTACTGAACATTTTTGATTTATGTGCCAGGCACTTTAAATGCATTATTTCAATTTAATCCCAATCCAGTTTTAAAATGTAAAAACCTAACCACAGAAAGGTTAAGTCACTTGACCAGTATAAAATAACAACTAGATTAAATTAGCAGTCCAGTCAGGTAGTCTGACTTAGCAACAACAACAAAACTAAAAAGGTTTTAAAGCCAACTTAATGTAATGCTTCAACAATTAGAAGCTAAGTAACTATGTCATATTGTTAGTTAATGCTTATGTTTAGTCTCTGAGATTAGTATCAATAACAGGGCTCAAATGTATTACCTGTTATATAGTAAATAGGAAGTTCTGAATTTGAAGTTTTTATTTAACTTCACAATATATTATTGTCAAATAGGTTCAAATTATTTCATGGAGATATATTTGTTACTAAATCAGTTAACAGGTAAATATGTTGGTTACTGTTAATGAAATACAACAGAATCTATGTACATGTATTTGTAAATATTTATTAAACAGAATACAAAATTAAGCTACAAGTAAGGAGAAAAGCAATTAACACCATCAAAATAGCTATAAATGTTTTATTTTTGATTCAACATTAAAATTATAAATCTAATTATAAAATATATTGCTACATTTTTTAAACAAAAAGGGATTGTCCAGGGCTGGGGATTTAGCTCAGTGGTGCCGTCGCCTGCCTCACAAGCTCAAGGTCCTGAGTTCAATCCCCAGTAACAACAAAAAAAAAAAACCACAAAAAGGGATTGTCCAAATAAGACAAAATTTTCAGATAATATCTGACATACTAGATTTGGTTACAAATTAGATAATTTCAGCAACATGTGCTAGGCATACTTCCTCATTGTGTGATTCTTATTTCAGAAGTAAGCCAGGACTTTTAGTCTATGGTATTTGATTACTTTTTTAAAGTATGGTTTTCTTCTTTTATGTCAAATATGATAGATACTTCTGATACATTTTTAATAAATGGGAGATCATGGAACTAATTTCCATCAACAGCCAATCTTTTACAAAGTGTATGACTTTAGTCATTAAATTACGGTTGTAAGAATGTGCCCCTTTGTATCCTCTATTAAATGATCCTTTATTATTATTATGCGCTGGATTAATCTAGTATTTTATATTATTTAATGAATCTAAATATTAAGCATTCTACCAGAAACTGCTCATTTTATAAGTCAATATTAAACAAAACTGTCACGAAACTACAACTCAATTATATGAAATAATACAACTTGATTGTTTTCTAAATGGCTGCAACTCACCATGTAAAAGTGTAGAATCCCACCACTGAAAGAGTCTCTTAACAGTAAATTAAGGTGATTAATGGATATATTAAAGTTAGGAAGCATTGGTCTAAATGATACATAAAACACTTGGGGAACTAGCTGACAGGCATATAACATCTGTTCAAAATAATTTATAAATACCCTTCTCTATGCCACAGAGAGACAGGAGGGGGCGTTGAAAGAGAGAGATTGAGGGAGGGTGCACTGAAAACAGCGGTGGAAACTTTAACTATAAGAGTAGGCATCATGATGACAGGTGGAGAAATATCAAAAGATTTCAAGACAGCTAGTCTTTCTGAGGCCTGTAAAATCACTGTTGAAGGCAGCCTCCACCTGAGCAGAGCATTGTCTCTTATCATTAGCCCTGCATCCCGGTATCTCTCAACTTTTCCCTTACACTGTGGACTTCAATAAACATTAGGAAGGTCATTCAGTTTGCATGCACTTTGAAAGTGACTCTACAGAGTAATACACAATTCTGGCTGACCTCACACATTACTTTTCTTACTTCAGGATTGGTCACTTTATTTTTTTTTAGAATTAATTTTACTGTACGTTTTAGGTATACATTATGATCACATTCATCATTGAGAATTTGTACCTGTACATGATTTGGTCACTTTCTCTTGTGAGGGTAGAGTCGCATTATTATGGACTTTAGTATTTCCAAGATAACATTTCTTTTCCAACTTATACTTACCCTTTATTCGTTTCATATATTCACTTCATTATCTCAATTATAATCACGATGACAACATGGGTATGTGCTCTCTAATCTACTTCTATATCAAGAAGTGTTTCTAAATCCAATTTCTTCCCTTTTTCATGCTAGAAAAAGGAAGCCCTATCCTTTTCAGGGTAATCCCCCCCACCCACCCAAGCAGTCATTCACACACAGGATTGAACCCGGGGGCATTCTACCACTGAGGTATAGCTCCAGCATTCTTTTATTTTTTATTTTAAGAATGGGTATTTACATCGCCAAGTTTCCCAGACTGGACTCAAATTTGCCATCTTCCTGGCTCAGCCTTTCAGAGTGCTGGGATTACAGGGGTGCACCACCATGCCTGGGCTTCCGGGGTAATTCTCTCAACTTTCCTTTTAGACTCATGAAATATTGGTTTGTTAAACATCTTCTTTTACCATAGGAGAAAAGACTACCTGTAGCCTTCTAAAGGCATCAATTAATTTTTAAGATTATTTCATTACAAGCTAAGAAAAGATGGAAAAGAAAGTTATGGGATAACATTAAAAGTATTGAAGATAGTATTTTACTGATGATGATAAACCAAGAGAAACATTTTGAGAAATGATGCACCACTGGAGATGTTTTAGCAAGTATGTTTCACTCACAATGCTTCTTTTTTAGATCTAATTTTGTGGTATAATACACCAGAAATTTCTGACCCAACTATAACTTTACCTAGTTTCCTAATTTTAACCTTATGTCTACCTACATGCATTGGTTCCACAAATTAGAACTCATATTAGACATATTATGTTTTATTCTGATATTGTAGGAGTCTTAAAGGCTAAAGTTGTTTTTCTTCAGTTTTATACTTAATGGTATCAAAAATATAATTGCCACTATCAAAAATCACAACATGCCTAAATAATAGCAAATTTTTTTTTTTTTTTTTTTTTTTGGGTACCGGGGATTGAACTCAGAACTTTGAGCTTGCAAGGCAGGTGCTGGAACCACAGAGCTAAATCCCCGGCCCTAATAGCAATTTTTTTTTTAATTCACAAAATAAAATATCCATACCAACAGGACTTTATATACAAAGTATAACTGGGAGTGACATCTCAATGTCAGTAGATATCCAACTGAGATAAACCCTTTTCTTTTGGTTTTGCCAATAATGTGGTGTATGTTAAATATTTGCATTGGACATACACAACACCTTTCTTGGCACAGTTATTACCATAGATCTGTGCAAGTATTTGAATATAGTTGTTGCAGAGTGTACTTCCCAGTAATATTCTAAATAGCATTTTAATTTTTAAAATCTCTAACTTTTGGAATTTGCATCAGTAAATTATTATTTTGAAAAATGAGTTTACTTTCTAATAATATAACTATATTTGCATTATGCCAAAAATATAAACATGTAATAATAACCTTACAAGATATTTTAGAAAATAACTAAAGATCTTACCTCCTCTTAATAAATAATAAAGTTTTTCTTCCATACACTCATCAGGAAATAGAGCAGGTCTTTTAGGTAAAGTATTTTTACCATCTGAAAATAAAGATAATATGTTTTAGCAAAACTACTATTTATATAAAAATGTTAGCATTATAAACAAATTACTTTTTCAGAACTACATCTTTCATTTGTCTCCTAATATTTAGTGAAGTAAGACTCTTTAGAGCTCCTCTTTAAAAATTAATGATTTGTTTCCTATAAGTTCAGCATTTAAATAAGCTTCACAGAAAAAAGGATACATCAATAAACATGTCTTATACTTTATCTTTTTGCCAAATTATATATTTGCTCTACACACAAGAAAAGCAGTAATTATTTTAGCACAAGAGAGGATATTTTAGAATGAATTGCGTACCTTGCTCAGAGGTAAAATAGAGTATTTCTTCCTCTGGTGTTCTAGGACAGCAATACACATTGGGAACTTCCTGTTCTCCATTATTAGGTACTGTTTTCCACTTAAATAAACTTTGGTGTCTTCTATGAATACTAGGACCTACTATTGTATCACAGGGCAAAGGAGATGCACATTTTCTGTCAGCTGTAACCATTTTCAAATCTTTTTCTATAGCCATTTTTGCCTCCTTGGCATCACTGCTTTCTTCAAAGTAATTTTGTTGCCCATTGTTTGTTTCCACAGTGGTTGGAATTTCATTTTCCTTACTAATTTCATGAAACATACGAAGCTCTTCAAGTACCAAATCAAATTTACTCTTCATCTCAAAATCTTTTACTACTGTCATAGTTTCTGTTGATAAACATTCTTCGGTTAAGTTCTGAAAGCATTCATTGTTCCCTTCATTTGAATCAGTTTCAAATTGATGATTAACATATAACGTAGCCTCATTCTTTCGATGAAAATGCTCTGAATTAGCTAACTCACTTTCTTGCAAAATACTCTTATATTCATTTTTATCTGTTGTGCTGTTTTGACTAACAGATTTAGTTTCTTCCACATTTACTCTCTTACTTATTAATGAAATTGACTGCACAGAAAGCATACCATCCTTTGGAAAAAACCTGTCCTCTTCCTTTTCTATCTTAATACAAACTTGGCAACTATATTTTGAACTCTGTGCTATGAGTTTTACTTCCTTCTTCAAAACATAGTCATATTTGATTCCTTCTATTTCATTTTGGAAGTTCTCAAAATTTAGCACCTGACTTATAGTCATCCTATTGATCTGTATCACAACATGAATTGTGTTTTGGTTTGCCAGTATAGCCTGTGGTCTAACATTAAAAGAACCTTCAAATGTGTGCTTAAAAGTGAAGCTACTGACCTTCTTAGGATCCTGTTTTCTTTCAGTCCCTAAATCTTGGTTGTGCATATTTATTTCATGATATTTTCCACTAATATATCCATGTTTTTTCCGTGTAAACTGAGGACCAGATTTCATATGTGTTTTAACAATACTGAAGCTACAGTGACCCCAAGTCTCTCCATTCGAGAGTTGTTCAAGACGACTTATACTCTTATAATGAGATCCTTTTATCAGAGAAAGTTCTTCCATGTCATCAATGTCCATTAAAAAGAGAATTTTTTCAGATGTTTCAAAAATGGTAAGGCATAGATTCTTAGTTGTTGTACTGAAAGAATCAAAGTTTTCTTTCTTGGGCCCTTCAAAAATTTGTTGAGTTTTAAATATAGGCCTTCTTTCCTTTAACATAGGTTTCATAATATCTCCTAAAAGTTTTGAGAAAGTTAAAACCCTCATTAGATATACAGTATGACCTTTCACTGCAATAAGTTTCAGATAATTCAAATGCATTATCCATTTGAAAATGTATCCCTCCCCCAATTCAGAATCATTTTCAATTCTGGTTAAAGAATAAAAGTTATCGAACAGATAAGGTATGTTGATTTTGAAAACGATATTTAAATGTTCTGAAACAGTGGTTTGTAAACATTTGTTTAAAATGCCACTCTTTATATTGACATTGATACTCCTGGTTATTAGATTTTGAGTACCAATTTGATTTTTGCACTGCAAAATTTGATACCAGCTTAAAATACCATTACCCTTTTGGTTTCCTGAAATGCTTTTATGGAAATAAAAAATTTCTGTAATGAAACTTTGAGAACTGATACTTAAATGAAAATCTTTTTGTACAGGGTCGTATCTCAACTGTAAACTACTATAATTTTCTCCTTCACTATTTAACCAAACAGTATTCATTAAAAAGTTTGGGTTACCTGGCATTTCTATCATCAGAGGAGCTGACTGCTGTTCATGCACATTCATGGCTTTTGTGTTGTGATCATCTTTCTCGCCTAAAAGTTCTACTTGCAACTGTAGCAAATTCAGCTTTTCTCTAGGTCTTTTCACACTTCCATTGTTAGCCCTGTAATTTCTCATAACTCCAAAAACTCGCCCACTTCTTTTCAAACTGCGTCCAACGTGACAGTGCCTGCTCTGAGACCTTCCCAGCCGGGCAGGTGTGCGCCTGTCCCGGGCCGTCTCTGCTCCCCTGCAGGGCGCCTCTCTTAGTGCGGCCGTGCGACTCTCTTCAGAGCGCCTCACATCGCACTGCACGCCACTGTGGTCGCAGCAATGTGAGCTCCACAGGTCGCTGCTTCTCTCCACAGCGTCTCGGGAGCTGAGCAACTGGTGGTCACTTTCTCCATACTCAGGACAAGAGCTTTCTGAGTCTACAGCTCTTTCGCCATCCTGCAGCTCCCGCTTCTGGGCGCTGTGCCCACTCGGGGACCAGGGCGGGTCTGTGAAGCCCCCGGCGGGGGCCTGGAGCGCGCCGTCCTTCGGCCCCGCCTGCTCCCTCAGGTGGGCCGAGGACACGCCGCCGCTCGGGGCCGCCCGCGCACAGGGCGCCAGGCCACCCTCGCTCGCGCACCTCGGCCGCGCGCCCCGCGCCGCCCCCGGGCTCTGCCCAGCCGCGGGGACGAGCGGCGGCTCTCGGGGCCGCGAAGGCCACGCCCAGGCGCGCTCCGCCTCTGACGGGCGCCGCAGGGCGGGAAGCCACCACCCCGGCCCGGGGCCGCCTCCGGACTCCCCCAGACGCAGCCGCTGCCCGCCGGGGGGCGGGCGCTCGGGATCCTCCAGAGGAAGCGACGAGGCGAGGACCCTGCGCTGGGCGGCCGGCGGCGAGGCCCGCGACAGCCACATGTCCGCGACCCGCCGAGAGCGCTCCAGGGTCCGGGCTGCCCTCAGCCTCTCAGGAGGCGCGAAGCCGCTCCGCCCGACCACGCCCCCGCCCGCCTCGCCACGCCACGCCCCGCAGGTGGAAATCCGCCTCTGCCCGGCGGGCTCGCACGCAGGCCCCGCCCCGGCCGCGCCCCCGGATGCCCGGCCCCGCCCCCCGCGCCCCCGCCCGGCGCCGTCGCTGGGGTGCCCAGCTGCGTCCGCACCACGCTGGCCGCCGCGGCCGCTGTTCCCTCCCTTCTGGAGCCACAGACGGAGTCAGCGTCTCGCTGCTCCGAGAGCTGGGAATGGAAACGGCTGTGGCCGTACAGTTCTAAAATCCTACGCTTTCCTCAGAAGCGTTTCTCCTCAGTTCTCCAGGGACGTTCCGGGAAAATCGCGAGCTCTGCAGCCGCCAGGCCAAACCTCTGTGCGTCTGAAAATCTCTCGCTAATCATCCCAGAGAGAAAGTCAGGGTTCCACTTCACTAAAAACCGTCGTTGTCGTGTTATGTACTGGAAAGGCCACTGACATTTCTAGAACAGATTGGATTCTATGCAACGTTTTTCCTTGAATTAGCAGCAATAAAAAATGGAAAAACAGGGTAGTTGTGGACTAGAAGGTGGCAGTATTTAATGTGAATATTTGAGGGAAGTGTGTGGGATTTATGCGGATAGCTTTTCCTTTCGTACTGGGGATTGAGGCAGAGCTTTCACAGAGAGCTGCAACCCCAGCCCTTCCTTATTTGGAGACAGAGTCCCCAAATCGTTAATTTGCCCAGGCTGGGCTGGGACTTAGCATCCTCCTGCCTCAGCGCCGCTCTATTCTTCATTGAAGATGGACAGGGCCTGACGTGGTGGCGCATGCCTGTATTCCCTGCACTAGGGAGGCTGAGGCAGGAGAACTGCTTCGAGTTCGAGTAGCGAGACCCTGTCTCAAAAAAAAAGGGACAGAAGTGGGGGGGTGGAGGGAAAGGGAGAAGAAGAGAGGGAGAGAGATTAAGAGAAAAAGAAAATGCAAGGAAAAGGGAAGAGCGAGATGGGACTGAGGGAGAACAGTTTTCACATGCACTGTAGAATTTTCTTCCCAAAAATTTGAATAAAACTGAGATAAAAATTACATCCTTGAATTTCTCCATGTAATGCAAGCATAAGTAACAATCTAATTCTGACTTAGACCTAATAATAAATTCTTAGATGCTATTTCTTCTTTCCTCTGCTTTAAGAATCATTTCTTTATGACTTTTAGTCAATTCTGATTTTTGTAAATTCCATAATCTCAGAAAAGAAAATGATTTTCAAAATATTTATTAATATATACATGTTTACTAAGAAGCATGCAATCACTGCTCAGTAATCAAAAACTTTAAACTTCTTGGTGGCTGATTCAAACTTAGTATGTTTTATTTTCCTAAAAATTTATAAGAGCAATAATGTGCAATAAGAATCTTCATTTTAGAACCGTGGGGGCATATATGATTATCAAACCACTTTAGGTAATAAGATCTTCATCAACTGCCTGTCCTATAAATACTTATAGATATATTATGATTCCAATTTTAGTCATTTGGTATTATTTTAACGTGTAAATTGTTCTAGAGAAATGTTTACGTAAACTTGCACAGAGCCTTTCAAAATAAGCCCCTCACCAGCTCTGTAAGAATCTGGCAGTGGTGCAGACTGTGTATCAGCTAGCCCTCAGAGTGCTAGTTCTGTGTCTGATGCTCCGCTGCCTTTTTACCCCAAGTACTCTTCTGGAACTCTACATTCCATTCTAATTCCAATCTGTTTCGTGCTTGTGATTGGCCCGTGTAGACTGGCCTTTATAGCTTAATTAGATATGGTGGGTGTATTAGGATGATATTAGGAGCAAGATTATCTCTAACATAAGTGCTATAGCTTTGTGATTTCGAGGCTGATCTGCAATGTGGGTTTTTTTCTTCATCTTGCCAGTTTGCCCTAGAACACACTATTTTCTAGCTCTCTGTCATAGCATTATTTAAAAACTATGTGTCATTTAAGGCCTAGAATTCAAATTAAACTCAACTCAACAATTGAGAACTGTGTCCAAGGCACTGTTAGGAACACATAAATGTATAGAGTTTGTGTATGTGTTTATTTTCTCTCTAGCCTGCAGGAATACATATTAATGAAGACCAAAAAAAAAACAAAAAAACAAAACAGGAGTCTTTTGAACCAGACATGATGGTAAAAGCCTGTAGTACAGCACCTGTGACTCCGAGGCAGGAGAATCATGAGTTTGAGGCCAGCCTGGGCAATGTAGCAAGACCTTGTTTCAACAACAACAACAACAAATCTTTTTGATACTTACTGATTCTAATGGCCATTGCCTCTTCAAATAATACCTCTTGAAACTACTATTTCTATGTTTTCTCTTATTTTTCAAATGCTACCATGAAAACAGACCAGTTATAGAAAGAAATGCAGAAAGTATCTTCAGCTCATCCTAATCAAAATATAAATGAGACTTGTTCAAATCTTACCCACACTTCAAAACCCACCTCAAATGTCACATTTTTGTATCATTTTACATGCCTTTCTTTTGAAAGCACTGAGCTCCCTTAATAATGCCATCCTTAGTGTCTTATTACATTTAAGACCTGAATGAAAAACGAATGAGTTCATGAGATGGGTCTACCCCATAGCAGAGCTGGGGTGCAAGCTCCTATTATAGTTAAGTTAGAAGCTCACTCTTAGAAGTTGGGGTGCCTAACACCCAAGGTCTTTTGTGTGATATGCCACATCCTCACAGTTAAGTCCTTCTTAACCTTTTCAGCTTCATATTTACCACATTACAATTTTCCCCATGCAGCCTACACTAAATGTTCCTTTTCTTGCTCTTCCATGAGTATTCTCAAGGCCTCTTTCTCCACCTGGCAAATTCCCAGGTCCTACCCAGGAGCTGCCTCCTCTGTGAAGACGCCTGTACTTCCTCCCTCCTGTATCAATCCCTGGGCAGGTCACTTGCGTCCTCATTTGTGTTCCCGTAGCACTTTATTTCTAATTGTAGAACACTATGAATATCCTTCTTGAGTTATATATGTCTTGGCCACTAAACTCCAACACAGTGATTTATTTAATTTTATATATCCTCAATGCCTCAGTTAATAAGGAAAAATAAAATGACACTTATTAAGGTACTTCATAATCCATTTTGAAATGCCTTGAAAATATTTTAAGTTTCTCGTTTGCTTTATTTTGCTTTAGTTTATGTTAAAGTGGAGACTTGCTTCTTTTAATTTATTAATTAATTATTTTTCCCCATTAACTTTATTGGTACATTTTAGGTATAAAATACAGTTACATTCATCATTGGGATCTTGTACCATTACATGAGTCTCTTGGT